AAACCCTATAAACCCTAAAACCGTAAACCCTGAAACCCTAAACCCTAAACCCTAAAATCCTATAAACCCTAAACCCTAAACCCTACAAACCCTAAACCCTAAAACCCTATAAACCCTAAACCCTATAAGCCCTAAAAAACCCTATAAACCCTAAAAGCCCTACAAACCCTAAACCCTATAAGCCCTACGAGCCCTAAACCCTGTTGAGCTTCAGATCTTCGGTCTCCGGGCCTCAGGGCCTGTAAGCCTCAACCCCTCTTAGATCCCCAAGTCCCGAAGCTACCCATTGGCTCCATACTGTTGATGCTATAAATCCTGCATTACCTTATTAAGGACCCTAAACTATGGGAATTATGGTACATTCCTTATTGGTAATGCAGGATTTACATCATCAACCGTAGTAGTTCCCTTTTGTGGTTTATATCTAGGATCCTACAAGGTAATCCCCAAAAAAGGAACTACCATGGAACCTCCGGGCAGCTAAAAAAACCGAACTCCACCAACCCTCTGCAGGTTTAGGGTTTAGGGCTTTAGGACTTTAGGGTTTAGGGTTTTAAGTTTAGGGTTTAGGCTACAACCAGTATAATGACCTCGTACCAACATGGTTACTGCATGCTTCGGTATGTCGCGAGACCCTCTTCTACGTGTTGAGGCTCCAACACGTCCCCTGAAAGCCTTTCTGTACACCCTGGCTGTACTTATCCGTATGGGTAGTTCTCTAAGTTAGGGTCCCGTTTAGGGGCCTTTTAATTTAATAAGGGTACCGTACTATATTGGGGACCTGGAAAGGGACCCTAAGTTGCAGAACTGCCCGAAAAAAAAACAAAAATCCTCTTTTAAGTGCCAAGGACCCTTCTTGACCGGACCCTTGAATGGCCCCTCATAAGAGGGCCTTCAACCGCGCGTATAAAAGGGAATCTACAAATAGGAGTTACTGGTCCGATTCGGAGGACCCCTGCGGATGTAGACCCTCTCAATTGAATAAATTAGAGATTGACAGGGTCTATATGCCCAGGGGTCCCCCTTAGTGAGAAGGGTCCCCTTTTGACGGGCCTCCCTGGTACTACCTCGGAATAAAAGACCCCTCAAGCCCCTAAACCCTAAACCCTCAACCCTAAACCCTATAACCCTATAACCCTAAATCCAACGGTCCGAGTCATCTGTGTGCATGTCCAAACCCAGATCTTCTCCCTCCCGGTAGCCTCAGGGGCAAGGCTAGGGCCTAGGGTTTAGGGTTTAGGGTTTGGGGTTTAGGGTTTGGGGTTTAGGGCTAGGGTTTAGGAAGTTCGGGGCTTAGGGTAGGGTTTAGGGTTTAGGGTTTAGGGTTTAGGGTTTAGGGTTTGCCGTAGGATGGCGCATAGGCGGCAGTATCTAGCGACAGTGCATTTTCGAGTGTATCGTGATTTGACGATTTGTNNNTTTACTCTCCCACCCCACGCCGTCTAAGGCGGCCAAACCACCCAAACCTATTCCTTTTAGGGTTTAGCTCTAAACTCATTCTATGGCTTTCTTCTTTCTTTCAAAATCGTTCTTCAGGTTCTCCAGCAGAGAGGGCAGTTAGGACCAGAGCAGGGCAGGGCAGACAGACCAAAGGAGGCCAGGAGGGCCAGGGAAGGTGAAGGCTGGCGGCTGGGCAAGGGCTGGGGCAGGGCTGGGTGAGGAGTAACAGGCCAAGACGAACCAGGCAGGCCAGCAAGGGCCGGGGGGGGGCCGGGGGCGGCCAGGGGGGCCAGAGGGGCATTGCAAGGAACCTAGGATAGACTGGATCTGGGAGCAGATCCGGCGAACGTTCCGTCAAGAGGATTCCTTTGCAGGCTTCTTTGGGGCTTTCGGATTGTGGGCTCTGGGAAAGCAGACTGTGAAACTCCTAAAACCCTGAACCCTAAACTCTGGGAAAGACCCTAAACCCTAAAAAATAAACCCTAAACCCTAAAACCGTAAAACCCTAAACCCTGGGGAACGCAGGCTGAAACTCTTAAAAGCCCTAAACCTGCAAGGAAGAGCACAGGGTTCCCAAATACCCACGGGGCTGCCAGGATAATGAACCAGAGTATACCCTAAATCCCTAAACCCTAAACCCCTAAACCCTAAACCCCTAAACCCTAAGCCCTGTATCAGAGGAATTCAAACGACTAACAGGAACACGGCAAGTTCTACGCTTTGGAACTGGAGAACATTGGAGAACCACTTGAAGACTAAGGGATCAGTGCTCTTCAGATTTCAGAAATGCCCAGAAGCAAATTCCGCGGCATAAACAAAAAATCTAGTTCTCAGAACCACCCCCCCCTCCTCTCAACCAAAAAAACACCCTAGACCCTAAAAACCCTCTCTCCCTAACCCTAAACCCTAAACCCTAGACCCTAAAAACCCTCTCTCAGTTCTTTGTTCTGCCCTTTTCTGGCTCCCAGTGGCGGACGATGAAGCAGTGATGGCCATCCCAGAGGCACCCCGGAGCTTGGAAGAACTCCTCTCCTTGGAGAAAGCAGTCGTTTAGGGATTACCTATAGTCTCCATTGTAGTTCCTTTTTGGGGGTTACCTTTTAGGATCCTTCATACCAAATTGGTTAAACCCAAAAAAGGAACTACAATGGAGACTATAGGTAGGGTGTAGGGTTGAGACTTCAGGGTCTTTAGGAATCTTTACTGGCTTCTGTACGTGATCTAATAGGCTTTGACCAGGCTTCCACCGGGTTTTGCAAGGGCCCTAAACTTAAAGGATTTAGGGGTTTTCGGGGGTTTTAAAAATTCGGAGTGGCTGCATTGCGTGAAGCCTTGCTGTAGGATTTGGGGTCTGGGATTCCGGATGTCGGGGAGGGCAGTTGTCTATGAGTGCGAAGGTTACCCATAATTAGGCCCCTAAGTAGTTCTTTTTATGGTTTATATTCAGAATCCTATAAGGTAATCCCGAAAAGAAACGACTTAGGGGCCTATGGGTACTACGAGACGTAGATGTCCCAGAGGATTCGTAGTACTGAGATTTTAGGGTCTACAGGAAACTCGCAAACCCAAGTAAGACTGGCACGCAAAAGATACCTCGTGATGTTGTGGGTTAAAGCCACCCTAAACCCTAAACCCTAAACCGTCGTTAAACCCAAAGCACCACTGTGTCCTCCCTCACTCTCTCTCGCTCCCTCCCCCCTCCCTGAAGGGCTTATAGGTAGGTATGTGCAATCAACCTTGAGGATTCCAAGATCCGCTTTTCATCTTTAGGATTCTTGGAGATTAGCTACGAGGTCTTGGGCTTGGGCTTGGGGTACCGAAGTTGGGTTTGGGTTGTCGGGTTTCGATTAAGACCCCTAAACCCTAAAACCTGAGCCCTAGACCCTGAACCCGAAACCCTGAAACCTGAACCCTAAACCCTGAGCCCTAAACCCTGAGCCCTAAACCCTGAACCCTAAACCCTAAAACCTGAACCCTATAAACCCTGATAAGGGCTTGGACAGCAGAGCGTCCCAAGGGCTGCAGCAGTTCCTGCAGCTTGTCGATGAACGGCTCCAGGCCGATATCGCTCAGAATGATGCCTCGCTTTGAGGCCTACCCATAGGTCCCTAAGTAGTTCCTTTTTATGGCGTATATTTAGAATCCTATAAGGTAATCCCAGACAGGAACTACTTAGGGGCCTATGGGTAGAAGCAAGCTGCAGCTTTACATGATCTTGAAGCCTATAACCCCGACACCTTACTAGTACGGCCCAGGTGAGGAACCGGTGCTATACCCCTTTCACGGCTGGGAGGCCGACTCCTTACAGCATCATTCGGTATTGTTCAATCGTTGTTGATGTTTATGTGGCCAAGGATTGCCGGATGAAGCCTTCAGGTGTAAGGTTTGGAAGTTCACGTTGTTTCGGGTTCTATGCTCCGGGTGTGTTGGCACCCAACGTCGTGGGCATGGAACTCGACGCTCAATCTCAACACCTGGCCGTGCAGTTTAACCTGATCTTCAGACCACTCCGGACCTATGATACTAGTCTTAAAGGGGACGGAATTCAGCCAAGTATATTGGTATAAACAACGCTAGATCCCATAAGCCCTATACAGCAGACAACCTGATCCGGTCCCAGAGCTGGAAACCCTAAACCCCTAAACCCTAAACCCCTGAACCCTAAACCCCTAAACCCTAAACCCTAAACCCCTAAACCCTAAACCCCTAAACCCTAAACCCCTAGCACCCCTAAACCCTAAACCTGAAACCCGGGAGGTGAGATTTGAAGCCAGAGCACGGCTCTAGCCGGCCCCCTACTGCTTGTAAAACTCGGTTGATGATATAAATCCCGCATTCCCTGAAGGACCCTAAACTATGGGAATTAAGTATGGTGTGTTCCATACTATGGGGAATGCAGGATTTATATCATCAACCGTAGGGTGTAGGGTTTAGGGTTGAACACCCAATGAATAGCTTCATTAAGCCTCACAAGAAGGCTCTTCTCCAAGCCCGCGTTGAAACCCCCATGCCGAAACCGGCGCTACAAACCCCAAAAGCTCTGATCGAAAGCCTGACGGCTCTATAAAGCCACTTACAAAGCCCGCAAGTCGAGAAGGAAGAAGGTCAACATCTGAAGAACGCAAACCCGAAAACCTGAAAACCCTAAACCCTAAACCCTCTTCAGCACCAAAGCCTAGAGACTCTAGAGACCCTCTACTAAAGCCATGGGTTAGGGAAGCTCCCGAAGAATCGCAAGCCTCCACCCTAAAGCCCCAAAATCCTGGGAGCATCAGGCAGCGTTTAGGGTTTGGGGTCCTAAGCCTTAGTCCGAAACCCTAAGCCCCTCATCGGAACGCCCTCAAAGTGGACAACATGAAGACAAAATACCTGCCCCCCAATTTAGAGTTTTAGGGTTTATAAGGTTGAGGGGCCTCAAGCCCAAACCTGTAAACCATCTAGACCCATAGGCCCCTAAGTAGTTCCTTTTTGGGATTACCTTATGGGATTCTAAATATATACCACAAACAGGAACTACCTATAGTCTCCATTGTAGTTCTTTTTTTTGGTTTAACCAATTCTATAGTAAGGATCCTAAAAGGTAACCAAAAAAAGGAACTACAATGGAGACTATAGGTAGTTCCTGTTTGTGGTGTATATTTAGAATCCCATAAGGTAATCCCAAAAAGGAGCTACTTAGGGGCCTATGGGGCCCCTCTGGGGAGGTCGCTGCGGTCTTCGGGTCCTGGAACGACCTTTGGTTCGGCTGCGAACCGTATCAGCCGACGAGCGCCTCGTCGTTTTCCGCGGTTTAGGGTTTAGGGGTTTAGGGTTTTGGGTTTAGGGTTTTGGGTTTAGGGTTTAGGGTTTTGGGGGTTTATTTGGGGTTTGGGGGTATAGTTGCAGGGTTACGTATGTTTAGGTGTGGTGGGGTCACGTTTTGCGCGGGTTTGTGGTTTGGGGTGTGGGATCTATCTCGATTTCTTGTCGCGGGTATCCAGGGGAAAGGGCTTGGGTATGGATTTTCATAGTCGAGGGGCCTACAGGATTATGCGATCTGGGCTTCACCTTTCAGGAGTTGGGCTAGTGTTCCTCAAGATTTGGGGCCGTTCAACCTGGGTCAGGAATGAAGGCTATAAGACTTAAGTTTAGATCCCCTAAACCCAAAACCCTATTAAGCCCTAAACCTTAAACCCAAAGCTATGAATGAAGGCTTAGGACTAAGTATAGATCCCCTAAACCCTAAACTTCCTAAACCCTATGAAACCCTAAACCCTGAACTTGGGTGATTTGACACCAGGGAAGCTGACACCTGCATTGCCCAGGCATTGCGGACGCCAGGCGAACAAAAGGTCCCCCGCCCAAGAACGCAGGTGCTAGGGCGCGTGCGTCCAGTCCAGAACACCCAGAGACTCCAAAACCCCTTAATTAAGGAATAGATCTTAAATCATATTAGGGATCCCTAAGCCCTAAACCCTAAACCATCTGACTATAGTTCAAGGTATATTCCCTAATTGAGGTCTTTTGGAGTCGCTGGGCATGCCAAGAGCGGCGAGAGTAAGAAACCTTGGCCAACTGGACGAGGCAAGCCAAACTCCCCTAAACCCTAACCCCTAGCCCTAAACCCCTTATTTAAACCCTAAACCCCTAAACCCTAAACCCTAGCCCTAAACCCCTTATTATAAAACCCTAAACCCCGAAACCCTAAACCCTAGCCCTAAACCTCTCAATATAAACCCTAAACCCCGAAACCCTAAACCCTAGCCCTAAACCCTTCATTATAAACCCTAAACCCCGAAACCCTAAACCCTAAATTCCGACAAGCACGGCAAGATGCCAGACCCGGGCCTCAGTCGCCCGCGTTTCGGGAGAACTCTCCCAAGCACCACATCTCCATTCCGCCATTTCACAGGAAGCCGCCGAGGCCTTTAGACCCCCCAGAGAGCCCAATCTACCCCTTAAAAAAGGAATATACCTTTAAATTATAGGGGCCTTAATCTTATGACTTAAGGCATATTCCTTAATTAAAGGGTATATGGCTCTCTGGGTCTGACTCTGGGTCCAAGTTGAGCTGCTAAGCCAGGCTCGCTCTGGATTCAATACAGGATACAACCCCACAGAAGCAACCTTCCGGAATGGGCTGCATTGGCAAACCCCGATGTTTTCTATGAGTTCTACGACAGCTGCCCTAGTCAAACCCTAAATCCCAAGCCCTAAACCCCAAGCCCTAAACCGTACTATAAACCTTAAACCCTAAACTCTGTACACCCCAAACCCCACCTTGATGGGTTGGAGGTCTTTTGGGCTTAGGTGGCTTTTCAGAGAATCATCGTTGGGTTAGCAGGCTGAGAGTTGAGTAGCGTACCAGGAACCCCCCCCCCAAAAAAAGCCGGGCCGCAGCCCTTATGATCGGTTTAGGGGTTTAGGGTTTAGGGGTTTAGGGGTTTAGGGTTTAGGGTTTGTAATACTGGGTATTCGGAGTATAAGAAGGGAAGGTAGGGTCTATGCAAAAAAATCATCAAAAAAAGCAAACCCTAAACCTTAAGCCTTAAGCCCTAAACTGGTAGTGACTTCTGTCGCCTGTTCAAAAAAGGACATAGGCTTGAGGCTCCAAGGTCATGGTGGGTGTAGGCTTGGGGTCTCATAGTCAGGACTTTGGGGTTTAGGGGTTTAGGGTTTAGGGTTTAGGGGTTTACGGGTTAGGGCTTAGGGTTTAGGGATTTAGGGATTTAGGGATTTAGGGGTTTAGGGGTTTAGGCGTTTAGGGTTAAGGGTTCCGGTTCTGGGGTCTTGGAACCGGGATTCGTGCAAGAACGAGATTCGGCTCTTTGTGGTTGCCACTGCTTGGTGCGCAGTATCTCCTTTCGGGAAACCCAATGGCTCCATGCACCCAAATAGTATATACTTTGGGCCCAATGTACCCATATAGGGACTACTTTAAGGCCAATGTATATACTATATGAGCACATGGACCCTTAGGGAAATAGAACAAGTGCAGAGGAATCCCTTCATGTTCACTACACTGAACGCTACTTGGAGGTTCATGGGCAGTT